CGGCATTATCCAGGAAGGTGGCATAACTTGCAATCTAGATGTCTAGAATCTTGGCATTATATGACCTAAGTTTTACCAGTGTAGTTTTACGTTAAAGTGTAATTTACACAATAAAGAAACAAACTCAGAAACAAAAAGAAAAGGCCAGTGTTATTTAATGACACAACGAAATTGTCATCGTACAGTCTATCTATGGTAGTATTCACTGAGAGCTAGACTGTGAAGTTTTCCCAGAATGCCCGACCGTGAAGCCGAGCATGCGTATTTCAGACATATGGACTAACGTAGTTGCTAGCGCTCGAGAGGGCTAGCAGATATGCCATTACATAAATGACGCAAAACAAATTTCTAAAACCAACAGTCAGCAGATTTGTTAAAGGAATAACTATCTGATTTCAGAGATTCATGATAAATCGATTGGATTGCCTGATAATTTGGATAAACGCCGCATAAAATTATTAATTGTCATGAAACAAAAAAATCTTATTTTTATTGGTAGAAGTGGGTTCAATAGTGCGTTACGCAATATTTCATGAAAATGTTAATTGTCTATGCTTTTTGTGGGGTGAATCTTTTTTTAGTCGAGAAATTTCTTTTCGAGTAATAAGGCGAGACAATTAGCTCGCCAAGATTTCATTCTCGCGTTTAAAAGTATTCCTTACGATTTTTATACAGAGGAAAAACAATAGATCGTGAAAATTATGTCTTGCTTATAATGTCATGCGAAAATTTAGTGATCTACTGTACGCAAAGTATCTGTAAATATTAATCAAGACAAAAACTTAACTTTAATAACTATTTTCTAAATGTACTAGGGCCTATCTTAAAATAATTTCAAATACTTCATAATTGTCCACAGCAAGTCTTGAATATTGAAAATGCAAGTTTCAATAATACTATTAAATCTCTCATTTTCATTTGGTGATGTTTTATTGGTTTGAAGAAAAACCATAGGTTCATGTGGATTTGATATCATGGATGAAGAATTGTTGAATAGCAATGAAAAAATTTACGTTTCATGGTGGACATGAAATCAGTGGGTGTTTTATTCCTCGAAACACCCAAAATTATACCCCACGAAAATGTATGATTCACAGTAAACATAAATTGTTATACGAGGACCGTTCAATAAATAATGTCATTGGTGCTTGGAAAGAAACAGAAAAGGCCTTTCAATACTTTAGTCTTGATGATTTCAATTAGATATTCTCTTGTAATCAAAATATATGACTGTAACAACTTTATTCAATTTCTGATTGTTTTTAGAACACATTCAGATTTTTGAGTATGACCCTTGTATACTGGAATATGGTAGATCCTATGATTTCCTGTACTTGTTTTTACTTTCTGAAAGGTTTTTTTTCAAGTTTAGGAAATAAAACAAGTCAGTAGTTGAAAGATATAGTGAATATTGTTCCTGGGAAAAAACATTAAGTTTCCGTTCAACCCCAAAACTCCTGTACTCATCATGGCTTGTGGGTTTGGACGCTGTCCTGAAGAAATTTAATGTAGAGGATTCCTGATTCTAGTTCCTTCCTCTCTTAAACCTTCCGTTTTTTTTTTTTTTTGCGAAAATTTTGCTTTCAATCCTCCTCCAGAAATTGAATTGCCTCCCAGAATAAGAATTTGAAAAACAAGAGAACTAAGATTTAAGAAGATAGCATATAAACCTGATTTGTGCTCTAGCAATTCTTTGCTCTTCTCAGGTCTTTGCTGTTTTGTCAAGTGCATCTTATTAATGTTAGTTTGTTTTGAAGGTTTAAAGGAATGGATTCAAGTTTCATTATCTGCTTGAATTAAAGTTAAACGTGGATAAGTACAATTTTAAATTTTTTTAACGTAATTATTTAGATCTTCTTACACGCTGTCATTTTCACTCATTTTTCAAAACATAGGGTGACCTTTGAGTATTACGCTCTTTTTACTGTTGAACATTTCTTTAAAACATTGTGAACTACCCCAAAAATGAAGCATATCAAATTTGCTGTGTGTCTCAAAGTCAATCAAACATAGTCAGTGATAATTTGTTGAATTTTCCCGAACATTACATTGGTTGTTTTAAGTCCTTGTAGCCAAGGACAGTACGAATTTTTGACGCCCATTTTATCATTTTAGTTCATTGAATTCTCCCTGCTTATGTTTGAATAAATCAGACATTGCTTGCTATATTTCAGAAAATTTCAGTAAATATTTATTTGAGATTCTAATCAAGTTTTACAGCAGCTTTAATGAAGCGTTTAATTTCACTCTAGTTTACTGATTCTTTAACGTTCATTTTTAATGCATTGTCTCGAGTCACAAAGAAACTATGTGATAAAAACTGGTCACATAAACTGTCAGTCCATCAAAGATTTAATAATGAGAGAAAGTCAAGCTTTTAATGTCATATGATATCTATGTAACATGTCATCGAGTTAATGATATTATTTATTGAATACCCCTCGTATTTGTGCAGATCGTTCCATTAAAATAGACAGACTTTATGCTTCATTATATGATCACTTACCATACATTTCTACTTCGCAGAATGAAAGTGAAGACCTGTTGATATTTGTCAGGTCTTCAACAGAAAAACTGAACGAAAGATATAGATAAGAGAGTTGTTTAAGAAACGGTATTTTTATAACAGTTGATGACGAGGCAGGTATCTCTTCTTCTCCACTTAGTTGATCTTCTGATAAACAACCTCGACAAAAGGTATATTGGAATCGTATAACGGATGTCCCTGTGAAAATACATAAAAGCATAGATATATAAAAAAAATAAGCTCATGAATTGGACATGAAAACACATAAATAGACGAACAAAAAAAATTCTTTACATAGTTACTATACCTGTATAGTGAATCATATGAAGAAAAATTTCCTTGCTTTTTCCAACTTAAGATCCCCCCCCCCCCCCCCCCCCAAAAAAAAAGAATGAAAGCCCGTTTACCAAATATTAAAAGTAATGGCCAATATTAAAGTTTTCAAACATCTGCAACACCAAAGAAAAGGGAATGCAAAAATGTTGGTGTCAGAGTGAAGGTTTTCTTCAAAACACATACATGATATATGAAAGCAATAGAACTAACTAATTTATTTTTTATTTCGGATTTTAGAAAGAAGAAGATATTTCTAACATATATTTAAAGACAATTGAAGTTTTATACCATACCAAAAAATACAAAGAACAATAAAGGTTGCATTCTTTGTTTAATCTACGATGGCTGTCCGTAAAGTTCGTAGACAACATTGATAATTACTGACAAACATTGAAAAAAATATATGAAGCTATTATTTTCATAAAATTCATGTTTCATTTTATAAATTTGAAAGCAGAAATAGTTATATTTTTAGCAGATACAAAATAGACACACACTGCTACCCGGAGCACCAAAACGGAAAATCTTGACGTTACCCGACGTCAAAAGCTACATACGAGCACATGTTACTTTTCTCAACATAGTCAGCATTTAACTAAATAATTGCTTATGTCGTTTTGAAAAGTTTAATTAAAAAAAAGATGCGCAAAATGTTCAAATTTCATTCGTAAAATAATACATAACAATGTCTGTCTCATATATCCTGCAACCATCTTACCACTGTCCGTGCAAAAACGATTTTGTTTACTGAAATACGGCAAAGTCATGATCACGTTAAGAAATTCATTTTTTTTTAAGCACTGCAATCTCGGAATGATGGTTTTCCTTCACGCATGTCATCCCGTAAACTGTTCATTCCGTCCAAAAATATCATATGCCACTGAAATACTAGTGAACGACTTCTTTTACTATGTTTTACCGATTGTTCACAGACTGTTTTGGTCTCTGTAGGTGTTTTACCAATGTTTACGCAGAATTTTATCACTGTTCACTGCTCCACCTATTCCGAAAACGTCTTTTTTTAAAACAATTTCGATCCTGTCTTAATATGTTCTAACTTTGATTGCTTAGCCGTTTTGAAACTTTGAACGTTCAAATTTTGCAGGTTTGACGTAATAGCTTCTGTCTAACTCATAATGTAATTTTTTTTTCAGATTTCCGCAGAATTTTATAAAATAAAATTGAAATTTATAAAGAGATAAACATTTTTTTTAAATTAAAATTTTGCTGTGCTCCGGGTCTCCATTCCAAGACTAATTATGTACCCATAATTGTAATAAAACATTTGAAATTGGATTTTTACATTTTTCAATTCGCATTTAGTAAAGGATTAGAAATATGTCAGTAATAAATATCAATGACACATCTTTTATTAGATTTTAAGCTGGTCCACGAACTTAACGGACAGCCCTCGTACATTCATAATTATCTTATTGGATCTGCTTAATCAAACAGTATAAATATTCCAAATAAATATATAGGAACGATAAATAGAATTATTTTGAGGGATTGCTTAACATTTATTTATATTGAACTTGTTTCTTATTTCCATAAAACCATGTGCAGCAATAAAGAGTAATGAGAATAGTCAGGCCTTTCATACGGTAGCTTGGATACCTTAAATATTTTACCATGATAATAATTCATCAAAAATAAAGTATAGTATCAACGGAAATGTGATACATGCATTATTTGATAAAAATATTCCTTACCTTTATTATTGAAATAAAAACGTATGTCTTTGATGTTGCGAATTAAATTCCATAAACTCATCGAGTAAATGTTCAAGTAATACGTCTTTTCGGTCGAAGAAGAGGTAAAATCAATGCAGCTGGGCTATGTAGTGGATCCATCAAACAGACGATAGGAAGGTATATAGTACGGAAATTTATCCGAGGAATACAGCAAAGTATAGCTTTGTAATACGACATTTTCATTATCTACAATAAAGCGTAAACAAACAGAAATGTGAAAGCTATATACATGTAGTATATGTACTTCTTATTATATTAAGTCTCCTGAGACACTCATGGGGGGTCCTATTCCTATACATCTAACAGTATCTGTAATGTCTTTTGTCGTTGCTCTGTAGAAATTTCGTGAAAACTTTGTATTAACAAAAGTTGTTTGTGAAACATTTAAGGTCGAGATCTAGTAAATGAAAGGTGCATACAGATTTATTAAATTTGATATATGAATGCCTTCAATGATGCTTTGCTTGATCAAATAAGTTGTTCGGGGCATAATATGCACTTAAACAAGATGAAAATCATATATTGAACTGTCATTTAAAATAAAAACAAAAAGTTAAGGATATGGGACCTAAGGAAATGTATCTAAAGTTAGTGTGCCTAACAACTTTAACTAAATGGTACTATTAATGTTTTTGGTCTCTTCTTTAAATTATATTTAATTTAATAATGGGAATCTAATCTAGTATATATATCGGGATTCTTTTTATATGATTGCAAAATACCGTGTTTTCTGCAAAATTCAATTTGATTGACTTTATCTTGTTTAAAGTCTCTCTCAGGAAATTTTCACTTATATGGATACTCCATTGATTTGCACATTTTATCCTAAACTTGGCACTCAGGGCCATTGAGTAGGAAGAAATCTTTTTATTGCCAGCACTTACTGCGATGCGAGACCTTGGTTTATACGGTCTAATTCGAAGGACCGGTCTCCACGACCCGCAATGGGATTCAAACCTGCGACGTAAGGATTAACTTCTAATTTCGCGACACTAGAGCAGATGCTCTGACCACTGCGCAACTTGAGTCGTAAAATTGGGAAAACAAAGTTTAAAAATTGATTATTGCGTCATAATGGTTCAAGCACCGAAAAAGTTGTCTAAAGTCATGTACTAGAACTTGACCTTCATTCCCCGGACATATAAACATGCGATAAAAATGAACTTAAATGGCTATAATTAGTGTTATTTTTCTAAGTCCAGAGGGATTAAGTCTATAAAAAAATTATTCGATTGTACCCATAAACAGACAGTTAACTTTGATCTCGATTTTTTTAGATATACCTAATTTCCTTTCAGCGTGTGCATCTTCTGCAGGGAAAATGAATAGAACATGAAAATTATAGCCGTGTTTCAAGTTATGGCGTTAATATTCGATTTTTGTTCTCGCCGTCTCATAAATGTTCCTCAACGTCACTTCATTTTCTTGTTTATGTAAAAAAAAATTACTCTTCATTATTCCTGTTACTTTCGTAGCAATTTTCTTTAGGTTACAAACATGATATTATCTAGAAAATTTATTATTTACACACACCGCCTTGACAGGCCCAGAATTTAAAATTTTTGTCAATTGTTGTATATTATGTCCTTTGAAAATGTCTAACAAATAGTAGGTCAATGAGATCTATTTTGAAAATAAAATCTATGGCTTTGTTACATGTATACCCTTATAAATAGCTTTCTGTATATTTATTACTATTAAAAGTCAAACAAAAGAAATGCTTATTACATCGCGGTCTAACAATTTCAATGTTGACTGGCCTGCCAGTCCAACTTATGAAATGTTAGACCGCAACGTCACTGCTACGTCACAAGTAATTAATTTTCGTTCAATATCGGCGACACGGAAATAGCCGAACGTAAGAGCTGCAAGACTTGTTGCTACCAGCAAGGTAATGAAGAAGGGAAGAGTATGCTTTGTGATAAATAACTTTTGTGATATAATAAAAAATGTAATTAACTTTGTTCCTTCTCAGGTATTGTTTCATATTTACTGATTAAGCTTTAATTTTCCATTTAAAGAAATTGATAATACAGTGTGTATTTATTGATTAAATCTTCAGTGAGCACTGACGGGTATAAGAAAACAGTTCTAGACTGGAGTTCGGACATTTTCACCTACAGGTCCATCAAATCATATGTTGCCTCAAACTCAGTCAATAACTGTATACTTTTCAGATATTTCAGGTCCTGAATTGCTTAGAATCATCGATTTTTGCCAGTTTAATGCATCTTGAATCCTAAAAAAATTTCAATGAATAAGGAGGTCCTAATTATAGTATTTCATGGCTATATTGAAATAATATTATCTTCATTCCTATCTGGCTAGCATTATCAAACTTTGTCTGCTCATTCATCTTGGGTATTCAGAGGAAGTAAACTGAAATGTAGGTCACGGTGACCGACTTTTGAATTTTTATTGGAAATCTTAAAACGTCTTAAAACGTTTCAGATATTTTTAAGCTACAAAACTGGTTCCAAGACCATAAACTGAGAACAGATTTGAGTCAATAATTTGATGTTTAATATCTTGCGTTTTATTGAATGAATTTGCTTTAAATTGAAAATTTGCAATATTGTGTAATATTACAGTTCAAATATATGATAAAACTTTTGTTCCAATATTAAAATTATTTTAAAAAGTTATAATAGTTTGAAATTTTGACTTAAGTCTGTTCTCGGTTTATATTCTTGGGGCCTGTTCAGTTGATGCATCTTGGGTGATCAGAATGTGTAAAATAAAAAGATGGTCATTGTGCCGTACTTTTGGAATTTCTAGCATTGTTTGAATATGAGTATGAGTATGTTTAGCAAGAAGTCCGACGAGGGACGAAAACAGAAAGCAATAGGTCACACTCAGGTGACCTAAAAACTGTACAAATTATAGGAATTGAAAAATATTGATTGGTTTATTAATTTCATTGATTTTTTTAATTAATAATTTAAAGGGATGTAAAAAAAACTTTTGGGTTAATTACTCATTTCAAATAAAGCAAACTGGAGAGATCCATCGATGTTTTGCAGTCGGTAATAACCATTAACCCCTTCAATCAGTAATGAGATCGTCCATTCAGAACCCATTATATATAGCATTATTTCGTCAAATAATTATTGTTTATGAGGGGTGCTATATAATTTATGTTTTTTTTAAGCCTTACAAATATTTAACTCAAAATCGCGATAATTAAGAAATAAACAACAATGTTTAAAGTTCTCTGGGAAATGAACTTTTAGTTGGTCACGTGATTAAATCCTGTGAAGCCCGAAGGACTTCTCAGTAGATTTGATCACGGACCAAGTAAAAGTTCATTTCCCAGTGAAGTTTTTAACATTGTTGTTATTTACTTATAATTACATTTGAAACGCATTCGAGTTAAATTGTATTTATTACACGAACGGGCCAACGTATTGCTATGTAGTGACATGCAATAACTTAGAAGTTGTTTGGTGGAAATATAACATCGCTCTGTGATCCGATCGCGCTATGACCTTTGACCCCAAAATCACAGAATTGAACGTATTTTTTCTTCAAAAGGTTCATCTAAGAAAGATATATGCAAATGTAAATATAGATATACATTACGCTTTGGATATTTCGGTTTAAATCCATTATAATCGTCTAAATTTAAGAGTCAAAGTACGACCTGCTGATATGATATGAGAAGTTCTAGTTAAAAGTTTAAATGCATCATTTCGTAAGTTCTATGGTCGATACAATGACCTTGTCAGCAAATACAATTTATCATTGAGTCAAACGCTGTCTGACGTTTTTCATACCATTTGTTAGTCCATTAATTAAACACTGAATTGACGACGGATTTTTTCCGTTATTTCCTGATCATGACAACGAGCACACGGCGGTTGTGACCGGTCTGCAGGGGATGCTCACTCCTCCATTGCACCTGATCCCACCTCTGATGTTTCGGAGGTCCGTGTTTGCTCTGCTGTGATTTTGTATATTGTGTAATGGACTTTGAGAATTAATACTGTTCATTATCTCCATATCCTTCTTAAAGTAATAAATGGAGGACCAGTTTGATAACTAACGTTATATATCTAATACTTACATGTAAACCGGTATGGCAAAGATTCGGGATGACTCCTTACTTCGCGACTCTAGAGCAGACGCTCTTACCACTGCGCCACGCGGGCGACGAAGAACACGCGAAGGCACTACTTACGTTAACTATTAAATGACATTGCAATAAGAACATCCATTTCAATGCTCAATTTTAACATTGCTTTAACATTGTTGTGAACAAGATAGAGAAATGTGAGTGTTGAAAAGAAAAATAAGTGTTATGTACAATTTGTATAAAAATGCAAATGCAAGCCTTCAATTAAGTGATTTGATACAAAATGACCAAATGCTTCATTAAGGTTGTGCGGTTAATTTGAGTGTAATATAGGATACTGATATTTTACAACACTTTCTTGTCAATAGATGATTCGAAAAACAAAAGTTTATGCCAGGTTTGTTAGGTACTCGTAATGTACAATTTCGGTGGGTTTGAAAGAAAGAAAGTATTATTGTAAAACAACAAAGGAGGAAAACATGATTGATTACGCTTTTACCTCTGAAATTCCACCAAAAATTTTCTGAAATTACACCCTTGAAACGAAAAGGGTAGGCAGGTCTGAATATAACACTTTCGATATTTATGCTTTTTGTACAATGGATCGCAATTACATGTTAGAAGAGAGACACGTAGGAATATATACTCAGAGTACAGTTAGGTCCAGTGTAACCTTCTCTGCAGACATAGCATGCTCCATTGTTAACGTCACAAACTTCACAATTCTCAGACTTATTACAGGGCAGACAGTCCTCACCATAACGGTCAGCTTCACAACCTGTAAATAAAGACTTAAAATTTAAAGCAGTCCTCTCAAAATTAAACTATTTACAGTGGACCTTCAGATATCCGGATGCCAGATAACCGGATGCTTCAGTATCCGGACGATTTTTCATCGGAACGGATTTTTTAAAATGTTATTTTGTCTTGTTAGACTGGTATTTCAGGTATCCGGACGCTTCACATATCCAGACAAATTGACTGTTAACCAAAGCGTCCGGATAAATGAGGGTCCACTGTATAAGGTATTTCAATGAAGATTATATCTAAGGAAGTGTGATAATTAAGTGCTTTTCAAGTTGACAAGAAAAAAAAACATCAGCCGCGATGTCTTTCAACTCACCAATTATTTCTATCTCACATAGATCAAATTCGAAAGGATTTGTAGAATCAAACCATATATAAAAGTAAATGATTGATCCTGTGCGTTGAATATCAAAGTCTACTGTTTGTGGAACGTCTGATCTAAATGTATCATAGACGTCATATGGCCAATCATATGCGTTATCGTAGTAAAGAAAATTCGTTCCGTTTGTAGAAAAATTTCCTGTAAGTGAACATTGAACATCTTTTTTTAAGTTTATAGGTAACAATATTAAAAACAGAAAGAATTTTTAAAAAACGTTAACAAAAGAGTTTTTTTTTTAATTCTTCGACTAAATTTCTTTTGTTAGCTATTTGGTATGTTAAAAAAATGGGATAAACTTTTAACTGGGAATTGTGTTCCTTGGTAGATGCAGATTTACATGCATATACATGTAGTCTTGATGCGTCAGATTTGTACTTTAAAATTTTGTTGTTTGTAACGCAGGCTCTTGCAATATAGAGTCTGATCCACATCATAATCTGATGTTTCAATCGAAATATTTACAAATTGGGGGCAATTAAAAATTTAATGGAAATATAAAAAAAGGTATATCAAATTCATTGATTTATACATGTCTGTTTTCTAATGCTTTAGATAAATAGTCACGGGATGTTTAAGCTAGGTGAGACAGAAAACGAGAAAAAAGGTTCTAGCCTTTGGTTCTTTTACAGTCGAAAACGATATATTGAAAATGAGGTTATAGAAACGAAAGAGCTAAATTTCATCATATGGAGAAATGGTGTTCATTCTGCTCATTTACATATTCACCATATTGGAGCTATAATGGCGGCAGATTCTATAAAGGATTATAAAGAGAACTTACAAAAAATTGCTAAATTTTATATTCTAACTATTTCGGATAAAGTTCTTCCGCCGATCTTTTGTTTTTTCTTTATATCCTATACCGGAAATATCAATAATGTTGATACCAAAGTGAAAGTTGCGACCGCCTTTTTGATTTGAAAATTCTAAGCGAGAGTACATTGTTTTATTGAAGAAAAGAGAACTGAATTAGTGTTTTTGTCATTTTTGGTGTTTATTGCATGATGACAGAGTTCTTCCGCCGATTTATAGATGCAACCGAAGGTCTATTTTTAGAAAATATTGCTGTTATAAAATTGTATGAAGAGTTACGACCGCCTTTCAAAATTAAAAACGGCAATTTTTTGCATTTGCCTGACCTACTAATTATTGAAACATATGGTATCATAAATTGCCAACTGACGATAACGCTAAATTCTAACCATTTAGATATGTCGAGTGCTTAAAGAAATTTAAATAAATCATTAGAGTCTTGCATGTTTTTATATTAAATAATTAAAGAAATGGTATAGTTTGAATTTTTGCAGGATCTTATGAATATAAATGAGAAGTAAATCACGTGGGAGCAACCTCATGAATAAATTGCACGTCATTTCTCCATATGTATAGTGCATACTAAAGAATACACAAATAGTAGAAAGATGACTTGATCATAGATTTAAAAAGAAACAAAATAGAACGGGATGGGGTGGGGGGTTCCATATCACAGGTACTTGTGCTTTAGAACTGCATACACGTAAAAATGTGTTTGTACACAGTTGACCTGTTAAGAAGGTAAATAAATACCTTTGAATATAATCCTCGACGACTTAATGTTGTATGTCCTTTGAAGGTTGATGTTAAAATGAAAATAGTAGCCATTAAAACGTTTACAGCTCTCAAATCCATCTCCGTTGGTAAAATTTTCAGTATTGAAGTAAGTGTGTTCACCAAGGTCATAACGGTAGCCTGATACCGTCCTTCCAATCGCTACATTACCTAATAAGAACCAAAGTTGAACAATATTTATATCTTATGAGAACAAAAAAATTAACAATTTATTATTTCTTTCAAGGTTCGTATGACTTACAGTAAAAGTAATAAATATTAATTAATTGTTCATCGAAACGAAAAAAAGAGTTTTTAAATAAAGTATCGTTGTATAGTCCATGGGTTTGCCAAGTTACATTGAAATCACAACAAAACTATCAGACAAGTAGCGTTTCAGTAACCATGCCTACAACGTTCATATCCAGTCTACTAAACTTCTGGTTCCTCAATCTGTGGAACAGTTTGAATTTGTCGTATGGTGCGATTACATTTATGTTTCAATTTTGTATTTAAGTTATGGATATCAAGTAAATCATGCCCCGTGGGGATCCGGGTTAGAATAGGTCCTCAGTACCCCCTTGCTTGTCGTAAAAGGCGACTAAATTGGGCAGTCCTTCGGATGAGACCGTATAAACTGAGTCACAGCAGGTGTGGCACGATAAAGATCCTTCCCTGCTCAATGGCCCTGAGTGCCGAGCATAGGCCTAAATTTGCAGCCCTTCACCGGCAATGGTGACGTCTCCATATCAGTGAAATATTCTGGAGAGGGACGTTAAACAGTATACAATCAATCAATCAATGAAGTACATCATAAACAAGTTTTAAAAAGTTTACAATAAATTAAAAACTCGGCTATATATCGAAGTGACTGGCACCGCTTTATCGTTATTAGTACAATAGTATTGTTCTCCTGCCTATCTCTCGGGGCAATTTAAAAAAAAAAAGTTAGCATATTCAAATGAATTTAAGTATATTTATATATTTATAAAAATTACTTATTTTGGAAAACAATGAGAGATAGCTCTATAATTTTGGTTTAACTTGTGCTTTTTTGCTAAAGAAATCAACGGAAATAATTTTGACTCTCCCCACCCCCCCCCCCCCCCCCGCGGTGAAACAAAAACTCCTTTTTACAGATAATATGAACTGTCATTTCACAAATTCATACCAAAACATTTTTGTGTTTCACGGGGAGGGGGGGGGGGGCATATGTTAATAGGCACAAAATGACAAAAATGCTTATTTCCTCCAATTTCAAAGCGATTTACAACTAAAACATTATATATTTTATTAGTATTTAATTACATGTATGTGTTGAATTTATTTGCCTAAAACATAAAAACATAAGGAACATTATTTAATTTTAATTCAAAATATGCTGAAACTTGAAAATCCGATTTCAATGGAAAATATCGTCTTCCCCTCTTTTCTCATGAAATGGAATTAGGGAGTAATTAGAATTAAGCGCTGGGATAAAAAATAATTAATCAATAACAATTGAACAGTTCTTTGTTTAATAAAAAAATTTTTATCGCCAGATTGCCATTAATATTCTTAAAAATGGGTGCAAAATGTAGAGGGAATCGAGAGTTAGCGTTCGTAGTTCTTTATATTGCTGGGATCCAAAACATCGCTAAATTCGTGAATTCCTTCTTCTATCAAACGAGATTTACTGTAATATTAATTTAATTTGACTTTGATGGAGCACTAGAAATTTTGTCTGATGTCTTTATGCTGTTAAAACTATCTAAAAATATTTCATTACTTACCTGCTTATAAACTACAAACAAGAACCAAATATGCGTATTGGGTTAATGTATTTTTGTATCGTCTTCAGATCTAGAGCAGAGCAAAACAGTGGTAGGCGCCTGTTTGCTTCGCCCTATACCTTGCCAACTGTTAAAGGTATTGGTTTCATATTTTGCACTTGTATTGAGAAGCATTTAGGTTTTTTAGGTGTACATCATTCCACGGTTACTATCCCTGTTACCCTTGTACTTGAAAATTCAACTTCTTTCCAAATATTTATAGTGTCGACATGCAGTATATGCTATTTGATACGTGTAATTCCTGCTTAAAAACTTCAAGAAATACACCAATTTTACGGTCCCTTGACCTACTTTGATTTGAAGAAAAACTCAACAGTTTTGTCTTTTAAATTTTGGGAAGCTGGGTTATGATTCAACTGAGGAATAATTGTCTAATTTCTAGATTTTATCATGTGATTAATTGATTGGCTTTCGATATAGTTTGAATTATCACCGAAGGCGTTCAAATTAATCATCGTGATAAAACCAAGAATCTTACTGGAATTCTTACATGCTCTTAATACCGCAAATACTATTTTTCTCGATTTTCTCGACTTGTTCTGCCTCGCACGTGTTTTTTTAACAACGCATTTCCATGAATCAGTAGATTTATGTAGCAATAAAGAATTTCTACTTTTTGTGGATTTATCAAGGACAAAGAATTTTAAAATGTTTTTATTTAATCATCAGCATACTGTACTGCCTGGAGATGCATGAATGCTTAACACTGCATTAAAGGCATAAAGAAATATCAGTTTAATTACTCCATTTATCTTTTTGGCCCCATGGAATCGTATTCCTCTTTGAGCAACAGATTTTATATACTAGTAATTATTATTATAATATCGTATTTACTAGATGGTATTTTTTCTTTGCTTTCATTGAGTGGTGGATAAAAAATTTTGATCTGTGTGTCCGTGTCTCTGTCAGTCTGTTACACTGTTGTTTTCAAAAGATATTTCCAGAAGATTTTAAGCGTTTGAAATGAAATTTTACATAACAAATACCTATGGCCTACCCAAACCTATTACTTTTGAGATCGAAAGTTCAAAATAATAAATTCATAAATTCTGTTTAATATTTTAATTCTTCAGTATCGATATTTTAGAGAAACCTTTTAGATTTTTCTATAAATTTTTACACAACTCCTTGTGGCTTAAGGAAGATGTTAAGGAAGATCCCTTAGATGATCACTTTTAAAAAAAGCCGATAGTAATGTTTACAGAGCAGACGAAACATCCGTTCATCTGAACACTTTTATTCTGTAGTAATTGTGACAACCGCTTCATGAATCTCTGAATTAGGATGGCAATAAAAAAGAATTAATTGTGAAAACCACTTATTGTATGTCACTCGTGAAATTGTTAAATCAAGGATTTTTTGAGAGGTACGTTTTTGATAAGTCCTCATATAGTGTAACTCAAAATCGCAGAGAAAATAGGGAGTTAGTACATCTTACTGATGTACGGTAGAACCAATTTGGCCTTTTTGCACTTCAATTTTAACTCTTTTTTTAATTAGTATAACTTTTATTATATTTTATCAGATGGAACCCTGGTAATAAATATAATCTTATTTTACGTAAAATGGTTTGAATAATATTTATCATTGAAAACATCTTGCAAGTTAATGCGCGTAAATTTTTGTGTGATCTTTTTGCACTTAAATGTGACATGTTTGGGGGTATAAAAAACTAAATAAACAATAAAACATTTTCTTAT